ATTTTCTTGGTTTTATGCTTCCATGCCTGGGCTATACAGAGTATAAATATATTGTCTAATTTTTAAAGGTATCATTATGAGTTGCTAATTTGATATCTGAATTGAACCAACACTTTTTTTTATCCATGCTATCATGAATCTTCCCTTATTTCTAATTAAATTTTGAAACAGTGGGAAAAGTTTATCTGTTTTGCTTTAGTGTATTTTGAGTATGTATCTTGTCACACAATTGATTTGATGATTCATAAGCTGACATTAATGGGAATTCAAATCTATTTGAGGACTCATGGAAATTTACTGAAGGCAGCATTATGACTTTTATTATTTTAAATTGAAGTCCAAAAATGCATAGCAATCTATTATTCCATGGAAAGTATCAAAAACAGTGTTTATTCAATGAAAATTACTGGGTAGGTTGTAAGGTGTAACTTGTAACTTGTTCAAACTTAATCACCACATGTTTTTTCTAATTGATTAGTGTACTATTAGTTGTAAAGATTGTGGAAAGACACACTGAATTTGTCATGGAGAATTTAGGCTCCATCTATATTTAAAATCATAATCTATTAGTATTTGTTATGATTCTCAAGGTTCTGTTAATATTAATACTTTTAAGAAAGCCAACCCATCATGGATGCTAACACTCATTTAAAAATAGTTCTGTTTTTGCTTTAATATGTCTGTTTTCTCTTTATTTGCTTTCTATCAGAAAGGACATTGGCATAAAAGCAAGAACTTATTGAGGACGGGTCTGTATACTCTGGCCACTTATTCTTTATTTTAAGGTCTGTTGGTTCAAAGCAGGTACAGGTGAACACAGCTAAATTCTCTGACAGAAGACTGACCTAATGTTAAAGACTCATTACACCTAAACCGTGGAGAAAGGGGAAGAGGAACTAAAAAAAATGCCTCCAAATTTGAGCAGTGTTCTCACTTATTTTTCATTCTTAAGCCTCTTGGGAAAAATATTCTGCACCCATATCTGTAACGAATTAAAAAATAGTTGTTCTTTTCTTCATTATGATATCTCATATGTGCATTACAGGTCATGGCTATTGGTCGCACCTTTGAGGAGAGTTTCCAGAAGGCTTTACGAATGTGCCACCCATCAGTAGATGGCTTCACTTCTCGTCTTCCAATGAACAAAGAGTGGCCATCGAACCTGGATCTCAAACGAGAGCTGGCAGAACCATCCAGCACTCGCATCTATGCCATTGCCAAGGTGATATGTTAGGAGGGGTCCAGAGCTATTTTATTTTAGAATATGGTCAGGAATTCATGGATTTGGGGAAAAATTTTACTTGTCTTCAATAGAGACTTCTGAGGAAGACTGGAGTCCTACATGGATTTCATGAAATACTCTGTAATTAATGAAAAATAATGCTTTGTTAATTTGACTTTAAGCTTGGACTTAAGGGCACATTGCAGTTTTAAAGGATTATCACATAGATAAAATGTCCCTTCCTTTTAGTATATATAGTAGCTATGCTCGTAAGTAGATTTGACAATATTGACTTGTCCTTTCCTATCACCTTCATTACTTATTCCTTGAAAATGTGTAAAACTGTATTTTAGAAAGGAAGATGTATACAAGGCTATCATTGAGTATTTGCTACCTGAGACCCTAGAATAATCCTAATTATTTGCTTTTTTTCTGTGTTTAAACAACAACAACTACAACAACTGACTATGAAAAAATCTCCACGATTATAGACTTTTCCATGTAATTATTTTATTGGTGTTACTTTTAGAACAAAAGAGCCCCACATTTCTCACTTCCACCCTCTAGTTCCTTTTTATGCAAATTAAATGCCATATTAATCTCCTTTCATATTTACTGTGCTTAGATTTTTTGGAGTGTCAGCTCATCTGATTTTATAAAAGGTGACTTGGGCAGCTGGAATCTGTCTGGTCAGAAATCCCTGAATGGCTTTTTGACATTTAAAGAAGCACAGGCATTAATCCTTCAACAGTATCAAACCATACTCCCGTCTCCAAAGCTCTGCTGACCATTTTATGTGTGTGTGTGCATGTGGGATTAGTTGATGAAAATATGAATTTTACCTTTAAAGAGGAAGTCCAACTTTATGATAATTTGCCTTTGTAGCAACAGAAAAGTGCTGTTTATGATTTTTGAACTCATTTCATGAGTATATCCATATGTTGAGAGTCCTGGAGGGGAAGGGAAGAAGAGGAAGGGATGCTTCCTTCATTGCGTTTAATATGTGTTCTTCTCGATCTTATGGTTTTTACACACAGAATATTTAAGTACTATTGAAATTCTGAGAGATACTATTATCTTTTGATGAGCACTTTTCAGTGTTAGGGGTTCAAAATTAGCATTTTTCTGGGGTGCTGGTAGAAGAGATTATTCTAAAAAGCCGTCTCACCTTCATTTATTGTTCCTATTTTCATCTTTTATATAAAAATAAATCTGTGACATTCTTGTACGTGAGGGTGTATGCATGTGTGTGTGTGTGTGTGTATGTATTTTTTTTTTTTTTTTACTCAGGCAAAGGATAGTAAATGGATTTTTCCTTTAAGTCTAGCAATCATGTTTCTGCTACTATGAGGCAGATGAAAAAGGGAAGCATTTCCAAGTTCCCAGACAGGCTGTAAAACTCAAGCAAATCTCTCATTCTTTTCTAACAGACTTATAAAGGATGAGGATTCAGGGCAAATGTGTGGAGTTTCGTTCCTGTACAGAGTACCCTATGTACAAGCAAGAAGTGCAGTGTCTAAGATATAAATTATTGTCTGCCAGAGTGCCAGGAGAAGGAACTGGTTTCTGTTTGTGAGAGGTCAACATTACTGTTCATTTCCACAGCAACCAGAAACTTGGTGATTTTGACAAAGAGTGTGAGGTTTGTGGAGAGCTGAAGGGGGAAAAAGAATGAAGGAAGTGTGTAAATCTTCGCTTGCTTTCATGATTTTAGAAAAGGGCAACTTGCTCTGAGGTCTGATTTTTGCAGAGTTTTATTTCAGGATGACTGGATCAACACCTCTTTTGATTTTGGGAGAATTCAGGGCATCATTTTTTTTTTTTTTTTTACTTTTAGAACAGTAAAGCAACCTCGAACGTGTCTGGGGTCAATATGAACTTCATTACAGCAGCATAACATGGCAAAACTGCTGTGTGTGAAGTCCCAAGACTGATGGGATTTTACTTTCTGTTGGAAACTGTGGATGTGACTGGAAGGTGTTCTTTCTCACAGTAAAATGACCGTGAGAACAGGATTCCAGGTCCTCCTGCAGTGTTCAGGATTGGATGACAATCTCATGATCTGTCAAAAAGCATAAGGATCTTAAGGCTCTACCCTCCTGATAATGGTGTTGATCATTCATTCAATCACTTGGAAAATAGGACAGATTGTAGTCCTGGGAACTCTGACTATAGTTTCAGGAAAAGTTAAGTAAAAGTGACATAAATGAACTTAGGAAATGAACATGACTTTGAGTGTTCCCCTTAGATGTCATACTCTGGTCAATAGAATTGTGAGTCATGATATATTTCACCACTTAGAATCATGGTCTCTGATACTAGAAATAAGTAGGTCTAAGGAAACTAAACTTCCTTGGTTGAATATAATAGCAACATTACTGTATGTAGTAGTTACATATAGTTCCTAGTGAGGTTTAAAAATATACAATATGATTCTAAAATAAGTGGTTTTGAAGTATTACAAGGTTATTATTTTTCATTGGGTATATTTGGTGTGTATACATATGCACATATATATCTTTACATGCACAAAATAACAATAGACAGCCTTTGCATATAAAAGTTTTGGTTTTAAGAGTTTATCTCTTCTTTCAGATGCATTTTCTACTCTGCTTAATTACACAGTTGTAATTTTCCTTTTGAGAAATTGCTAAAGAGAACTTGAGAAAAAGGTTGTGCTGCCTATAGAACCTAAGTTATTACTACATTGTTCTAAAAAAAGTGTTAGGATTTTGTAAAATGCTTGTCTTAGCACAAAAGTCATAGTAACTGATTCAGAATAATTTTCTGTTAGAAGTCTTCTGCAAAGCAATGTTCTAGAGAAATAATGTCAAGTCAGATCCAACCCATGGATTCTCACTGATTCTTGCATATTTGTGTGAATCTAGAACGGGGGCTTAAAAATATGCTATTTGCTGGAATATAACTATCGTAAACACAAGCAAAACAATCATTGTATCAATTCCAGATTTTCTTACCAATTTGATTTAACTATAGTTTCAAGAGATTCTATTAATTCCAAAGAGTTGTACCAAACTTGGAACATACATAATTGGTAACCCATTTGAATTAAGAGGATATGGAGCCAGAATTTGTTAGGGTGACTGCCCTAAGCACACACCACTGTAACAGCTCAAGGCAGGCATCTGCTCTGTCTGCTCTCCATACATGTAGTTGGCAGCATCTTTAGGTTTATTGGAAGGAATGTCAATGAGGTCAGTTTCATGCTTATATCTAGGTGGTTAGCCTCCGGCTCTCTAAACAACACAGACAGGAATGGTTTGCTCTCTGTTTCCAGCCAAATAAGACATTTATAAATGTTTGCCAAAGAAAGTGTCTCTTCTCCCTCTGGCAGGCCTTGGAAGACAACATGTCTCTTGATGAGATAGAGAAGCTCACATCCATTGATAAGTGGTTTTTGTACAAGATGCGTGACATTTTAAACATGCAAAAGACACTGAAAGGGCTCAACAGGTAAGCCAGTCTTGCTCTGATTCCCTCCACAGCACTTCTGTACATTTTCTGAATAGTCTTCTTACTCTTAAGCATTTGGCCAAAATTCTGCTTCAATGAGGTAAGTAGTACTGACATTGGAAAATAATAGCCATAGCCAGAAGATAAGTAGGAAATTTTCAGATATTATTTTTTGAAATATTTCTGTTAATATATTTAGCCATTTTCTACCTCCACTCTTGTTAGCACATATAGTGATGATTTTATTAGGTTCTTTAAATTTACAAAAATCAGTTACATGTATGAATGTGTTATTTATTTATTTATTAATATAGAATGTTTCATGAATTTGTGTGCCATCCTTGTTCAGGGGCCATGCTAATCTTCTCCGTATCGTTCCAATTTTAGTATATATGCTGCCAAAGTGAGTACTGAATGTGTTATTTAATTACCAAACCTTATGCAGATTTAAATTTTATTAATCAGCAATTAAATGAATATTATTCCTACTTTTTATAAATTCTTTCAAGATATGAAGCCTACATTTCCTTTTTAAAATAGTTTTTTAGTTGTTGATGAACCTTTATTTTATTCATTTATTCATATGTGGTGCTGAGAATTGAACCAGTGCCTCACACATGCTAGACAAGTGAGCTAACACTGAGCTACTTTTACTTTTTGATATCAAACCCAGCCCCTACTTTTACTTTTTGATATCAACTTATGCATTTGCTATATATTGATGAGAAAATGCCTTCATCTCGTATCCTACTGATGTTTTTAACTGTGGAATGTCTAGTTCAGTGTACAAATAAGCCACATGCAAGTTTCTGTTGATAGACTCCTTACCTCTTCCTCATTTACATTTTTATCTCCTTCATAGCCAATTATTTTAAAATTTTATTTCATGTTGAGAATATTCTAATAATGTCAATACTTTAAAATCTAAATTTTTTCATGGGAAGACTGCTTGCTGGGGCATCTCAAGCTTATGACATCTTGGATATGTTTCAAACATACATCTTTGATAAGAGGAGCATTTATTTCCAAATTAAGAACAGACAGTATGGTCTTCTTTAGTTTCTCCCCTCTAAGAGGTCTCTGAGATAATTTCTTTTTGAAAAGAACCAGTTTAGGGATATGTTTAGAGAAGGAAAATTTTTTTTTGCATTTGAATTTTTCTCAAATGATTTATGAAAATGTAGAAAGTTTAGTTACAATGTTGTTGAGGACAGTGGAAGTTCTGATAGCTTGGGTGACTCATCTATTTAGCAACTACAAAAATAGTTGGGTTGCTGTATTGGCTTCATTGAGATGTACACTATCTGAGAAATAAAAACACCTGCTTTTACTTTTAAGCGAAATTAGGTATTTCTTTATTCCACAATTTCCCATGTCAAATGCTTGATTTTGAACATTGGGGATTCCTATCTGACAGAGATGAAACTAGCTATAGTTGCCTGTAAATCATCCTTTCTAGAGATCACATAAAATGAGCAGTATATAGCAAATAAGTTAGGAATTGAGCCTATACATTCATCTTAGAATTTTGCTGACTTAAGTTTTCCTTTTCTGGTTTATGCTGCCAGCAGAACTTCCATGTTGAATTATAGCCTGTTCTACTGTTCAATTTAAGGCACCTGATTTCAAATGCCTATGAGATCACTCCAATTAAACCACATGAGGGTGCTAGAAACTTACAGAGTGCCAGATGTAACAGTGCAAGAGATTTGGGGTGGAAAAGAACAGATGTTATCGTGATTTAATTTCCACTTGATGTATATTCTGATTTTTGGACAAATTTAAATTTTTAATTAAATAGTTTTTGTTACATCTAGAAGGCAGGTTGAGATACTAACTAAGCACAAATAAGTGTATATTGATAGTAAAAAAAGGTCCTTGGAGGATTAGAACAGTTCACTGTCATAGATCACTTATAATATCTTTCTGACTTCCACATTCTGTTGCATTTATTAGCTGATAATTTGACGTTTTTGGTTTCCATTTGCTGACATAAATTTATTTGTAAAAAAGGCCCTTTCTCTTGTATCTTCAAAATGATCTACATTTAAAACACTTTATATATGGAGCTTTTAATAATGTAAAAGATTATAAAAATTATTTACATGCTGTGTAAGTTTGTTTTGATTCAGGGAGGCTAAAATGCTATTATGTAACAAAAGCTGACAATAACTTGGAGTGAAAGTCAATAGATGATCCATGGCATTAGTAAACCTAATATCTGAACTCATTATCTCACAGATACTTGACTTCATTTTTTTTCTTTTTTTGGAGAGTCACTGGTGCATACATAGCATTATGATAATGACTGCTATTTAGAAGTGTTAGGTAAATGGAAAGAATGGATGGCCACTGAGGCTAGTTGTCTCAATCCTACCGTGGCACATAGGGGCCTGAAGTTGAAAGGAAAACAAAGTTGGGCACTCTTGTATTAAGGTGCCCATGCCCTTTTGCACTTTTCACACGGGTCCCTGGGGAAATAGGCAATGGGGATCTCACTGGGAGAAGAGAAGAAAGTTAGAGGATGAGCATAGAATGCTAGACAGTGGTTCAGTTCCTTCCTTGTACCTATAAGGGGAAGGGGCAATGGAGCCAGACAGATCATTGTGCAGGTCCCTGCCTGCTGTGGAGTCACGGATGCATTACCTCCTTCCTCTTGCTTCACTTCCTTTCTGCTAATGTCTACTTCATAGTTTTGTTGTAAATCTTAGATGTTAAAATTATAAAGCAGTCCTGGCACATGATGAGTGCCTGAGACTTTTCCTTTTTTCTCCTGAAAATGAAAATACCACTTATATTATGAAGATTATTTCATGACTTCAAATATATGCATTTGAGGACTCATTTTACCAGTCATAATTTGCATTTATTTATTTATTTTGAAATGTATCATTTCTTTATGAAGTATTGCCACTATTTTTAATGCCAGACCTATTTTTATAAGGAAGCAATGAAAACTAGTGATACAAAGACTATTATCAAAAGATTAATAGCACTCTGTTATGCTAATGAACCAAAATTCTCACTCTACAATTTTTAGTCATGTCAAGTTCTTCTAAAATCCAATAAACATTCTTCAGGAGAGGATGAGAATATCACTTGCACTGATGGTCAATCTGTGACTTGTATTTACATAAAATCATCTGAAATGAAGTCTAGAATTTGACTGCCAAATGAATATACTCTCATATTTAGAATATATGTGAATGTCCATAGACAGATATAGGACAAATAAAATAATGATTATTGCAAGGTAGGCATTATGGAAATGACTAATTTCTATGCTTGTAAAAAAGTGGGAATTATAGTAAAAGATTCATTTCCTGGAAGGATGGAGATAAACATATAATGAAACCCCAATCTTCTTCAGGGTGATTGGTCAAGATAGGTAGGCAATGTTATAATTAACTTAGTATCCTGGCTCTGAACCCACACCAGAACTCAGTTTGTAGTCTCCATTCCAGGAGCTTAGCAATGGCAGCCCTTATAAGACCTTCAGAGCAATATCCATTTTTAGAATTTAGGGGATACTCATTATTCAGACAGCTTCAGGAAAAAAAAATTCTCTTTCCCACTTGAGTTCACTGACGTTTTCATTTTCCTCTTAAATTGTTTATTGCTGCCCAAAGGCAGGCTAGACAAGTTGACCATTCTAGGTAGTCCTCCCAAATTATAAGCTAGTATAGTGGCATTAATCAACCAGGCTGATAACATTTACAGTTGACTTCTTTAAGGTTCAGAAGTTTCTCTTTACTCAACTTGGTGTGAATTGTGTCATGCAGGATTCCAGTTTTTCATGCATTTACCCTGGAATTTAGATGATTAATGTTTACTGAAGATGTATTAACTTCACATTAACAGATCATCCAGCAAGGAGTTTGAGAAAGATTAAGATTATCAGAATTTTTAGTGAAACTGCAACATGTACATGAGCTCTATCCATTGGTCTTCACTGCTTAACTGTCCTTTCCTGTACTCATTCATCCTTCCAGCCCTTACTTCTATACCTTATGCTTCTCCTGTATAACATTTCCAAAAATACTCACGTAAAGAAAACTATGCTAATTTTTAGATATTAACAATTATAAAAATATTTCCTATAGTCCTTTTCTCCACTACCACATAGACTTAACCTTAGTCTTGCAAAAAACCCCAGTTTGGAGAATGGAAGTACAGGTATCACTTATCAAATACATGTTTCAAATGTCTTCATTAACTAGGTTCTCCTGCTTATTCTCTGTAGTAACAACAGGATGGGTTTAGAACTCTGTTAATATAGAAACTTGAGTTTTGATTCAATTCAGTAATTCCAAATATCTTCTAAATGTAAGATAATAATTACTGAATTTTTGGACTATCTATCAGGTACTGTGTCAATCACACTATTTTGTTCAATATTTCCACAGCATTAAGTTTGCAATTTCTTAATATGACTGATAAATTCAGCAGCTTCTTGTGTATCACATACTAATAAATCATGAAACTGAGATCAAATCTGAGTAGGACTCAAGAACCTGGAACATTTGATATTTAACCTCTAATATTTGATATGTTAAGTATGTAACTGTGCCTATATATGTATACAGACACAAAATATATATTATTGGTAAGGAAAGGCAAATTTGATAACATCCGGAAGAAACCAGATGACACATAACAGGCACTTCCAGTATCGTAATGGCAGTCAATAAAAGGCTGATAGTCCTATCACTTTAGACCCAGCACGCAGGATAAATATTTTAACTATATTCATAATAAATAGAAAAGCACAAGTGTAAGATTTCTCAGTTGGATTGCTAGTGTTATAAGGAAGAAAGGGAGTGGTCTATAATAGGACTTCAGAAACTTACACTCCATTTTTATTTATAATATCAATTTGGAGTAGAAAGTTTAGATTGAAAGATAACCATTATGTTAAACACACACACACACACACACACACAGAGTCAAGAAAAAATTGTGAGAGTACTAATTGCTAGCTTTGAACATCTGTTAAATCCTTTGCCTGTTATTCTAAAATTAATTATTTTATTTTGGTTTTTGGGTTCTTTAGCTATTTCTGACTGATACATTCAGCTCAAGGATGTTATTATACCTGCCTAACTTGTAGAATTTTTCTCTTTTACTGGCTAAAACTAAGCTGCATTAAGTTTTGAATCCTTCCAGTGATTAGCTTAAAGACAGCCAGCCTCTGATGTTAAATTACCAAATGGAAGATTTTCTGCCATTTGTGATGATTGTTTCTTCTTTTGCATTCCATTTAATTTGGGCAATTTTCCTGGAACGGTCCATTTTGCTCTCTGGTTTTTATGCACAATGCTGCTATTTATGTTGGTATTTTTGTAGATGACTGTTTAAAAAGAATCTGTTTTCACCCATTTTAGATGTTCAAAACTAGGGCACAGAACCAA